GATATAGGGTCATTAAAAAGGGAAAAAGGGTAGAGAGATATTTATTGTCCACTGAGGAAGCTATCTCTAAAGGTTAAAGCTAGCATCCAAATTCTAACCTTTGGTGTTCTTGTGATAATTGGTGGTCTGTAGTCGATTTGAAGGAAATGAGTCTGAGGCTCCAAACTTTTTAACCCTTATTTCTTAATCTCAGGTCAATGGTACCTCCTTATTATAGGGCTAGCCTACAAAGAATGAAATGTCAGTTTGCAATATCTCAAGGCCCACTACTTTAGCTCTTGTATTGTAGCAAGAACACTACAAGAATTTTAACTTTTATTCATACTTTCTTTCAAGCGCTTAACTAGTTGTGTTGGTAAATTCTTACATGCACATAGGTAAAGGCGGGCGCTTTCAATCAGCGTTTGATATGTTTTGTATTTGTAGGCGCTTATTACTCGAGAGCCTAAAAATAGGAAAAAAAAATGAATAACAGCACGAGGGGGTTTTGGGCGCTTGGGGATTGGGTGCCAAAGGTCACCCATACTCCCGCCAAAATGATTTTCCTCCCTGCCTTCATTTAGTAACCTAGAAGGTCCAAAAGTTAAATTTCATTAATTTCTTCTTCATTTTGGGTTTCCCTAATTCCCTTGAAGGGAATCCCTCCTCATTCATCTACTAAGTTCCTTCCGTCATAATTCTCACCTCACTACTCTAGATTTAGTGATTGGAGGTAATCTGGGGAGGATCGACGGTAAAATTTAGGTTAGTTTCTCCTTTGAGTTCTGAATCTCCTTTTGATTAAAGTACATTCTGCCGTTTTCCTCTTATTTTGATTTCATTGGAATGACTTTCGTACCCTAACACATATCCTTCTCATGTTTTGATTTCACGTTCTACGGTGAATCTGGGGAGGATTGACAGTGAACTTCAGGTTTGTTCCTTTTTCTTAGATCTTCTTAGGTATTTGTTATGGAATTCTCAGTTATTACTCCATGATTTCTAGTGTGTTGATTAGGAATCTGATTCAATGACTTTTAATTTAGCAGATTTGTTTCGTTTGCTGATGAATTCTGATGTGATAACTTGATTCTTATAAATTCTGGTATGTTGATTTACACTGGCATGCACATCCGTCCTTGTTTGCTACTCCATTTTGATTGGGATGTTTTGTCCAAGAACAACTTTACCCACTTTCCATTCTTGCCAATGAACTTTCACTTCTTGCTAATAGGTTGCAAGCAATGGTAGTGACTGAGGAATCTAACTTTAATATTTCTTTTGTCTTTTAGTTGAGATTTATTTTACTTTCATGTGATGAAGGCTATTTAGGTTTCCATCAAGTGATGAAAATTGGATATCCGTCTCACACTGTTTCCTAAGCTTCCATCAACTGCTAAGTATTTCTCTAAAATGGGGGTTGAAGGAAATAAGTTTCATCTAACAGTAATGATGAATACAAGTTAAAATTGGTGGTTACTTTTTTCTGATGAATATTAGCTAAAATTGGTGGCTACTCTCTTTTGTTGCAACTTGTAATTGCTTTTTATTAGTAGTCTTTGAATGTTTGAACCTAAACAACATGTTGGTAGGGTAGGAGATACCATGGCAACTGATTTACAAACAAGACAGTAGTGCATGGCTAAGATTACAAAGATGATCCATGTCAGTTTCACCTTTTTTGTTTCTTTTATTTTTTATTCCTATTTGTCTTACCTATAGGAGTTATAATGAATGATGAGACAGTACATCAATTATGCAAGAAAGCTATTTGTCAAGTGTAACTTTTGTAGATTATTTTTGGTTAGCACTTATAGCTTTCAAAAAATATTTAATATCTCCATTAGAGTTTTGAGACTATGAGCTCTGCAAATTACAGGGAGTCTTTGATCGTGGTTAGTGAGATGAGACTCAAGGAGTTGATATCCTTTTGGTTAGTATTTCTCCTTTATTAGCAACAGTGGACTCTTATTCATAATGCTAAACCTCCTTTCTGCTGAAGTAACTTTAATAGTCACAGGTGAAACCTAGTCTTCCTTATTTGGATATCATAAGAATTCTCACGGTCAAGGATAAATCTCCTCTACCGATTAGCATATTAGGTAATTTTCATTACCCATTTTACTTTGCTTTATCATCTTATTACCCTTTTTATCGTTTTAGTTCTTGGAAGAAAATATTTTCCTTTAACTGCTCTATACAGTAAGCCTTGATCAAAAGGTTTGCTTTAGATTACTTTTTTTTTCACATTTTTTCTTGTATGCAACCATTTATGGTTTTTGAATTGCTTTTACATTAGAAACTTATCTTAGAGATGCTTCAAAATGAATTTAATTATCTCCCTGTCTTTGGTCACAAGTCTTCTTCATGATGATGTCTTGGATGATGTTGATAAAAGTTGTGGTATTGGTTCTTCAATTGTTATAATGGGCAATACAGTTCTCTTGATTTCCTTAAATTAAACTGATTGGTTTTCTTTTCATTTACAATACATTATTGTCGATTATTGATGCTCTATAAAAAATGATTATTTAATTTTTAGTTAATAGATGTTATGAATTGTTTTATTTTGAGTAAGTATAGTTAATGGATGTTGTGATTATTTGCTCTATTTTTAGTTAATGGGATGTTGTAAATTCTTTATTTATTGTCTTTTGGGTTTTTAGTTATTCTAGTTTCTTTGATTGGTTAAACTTGATTATAGTTTATTAATTGTGTCCTTTAAGGTTCATAGTGCTATTGAATTCAAGAGAAGCCATGTGTTTCAATTTGTTGTTGAAAAAGCACAAATTAAAGTTCAATATGTTAGTTCAAGTTGAATGGTTGAATGTCAAATTATGGTGCTATTGAACTTTCGTTAAGGTTTACTTTCTAAACTTCCGTCAACTTTGTTTCAATTGCAAGATCTATAACAAACGTCACCTTATTAGAGGAAATGACAATCTTAACCAGCCTTCTTTTAATCAAATGCAACAAAAGTTTTATGGCATGTTTGGAAACATGAATTTGATAAGGTATATTTGAATTTGGACACCTCAAATTCCATGTCAATGTTTGTTTTCGCATAAATAGAATGTAATTGAATTTGGATAAAAATACATATATTTCAGCTGGGTATTTGAAAAGAGAGAAAACCATGTATTTCAAATTTATCCTATAACTCATGAATTTCAAGTTCAAACTGTGCATTCTCTCCGCACATGGATGGCGATGAAGCCTCCATCTCGACTTTCGTTCATCGTCGACTATGTCGGAAATTAAATGGATCTCTGTAGCTTGTCAGGCCCGAAGATCAAAATTGGAACGCTAAAACTTACATCTGATAAACGCAATCGCTGCCAATCTAACTTTCCTGCATTGCTCTGGTGGAGATAGCAATCAGGTAGATAGCCGTAAAGATCGACGCCGGCCAGGAAAGCGGAAGGCTTTCGAGAGGGAGAGGGAACCAGGAGTGGAGATGCCGAGTGAAATTGGAATTCTAGATAAAGAACATGATCGTGATGGATTTTTCTGAAAAAATAAGTTGGAGGCCTCTTTTCTCTTGTCGTACACAGCAAGAGTAGAAAGAAATCCTTATACCTCACTACTTAGAAAGGCTAAAACTCTGGTTTTGAAATAAAATTTAAATTTTTGGTACAGCAAATACCCCTCTTTTGTTTGCATTGATGGAATATTATATGATAAATCTTCCTTTGTAGGTATTATTTTGGTGTTTTATTTTTTATAGTGAAATTTTTTTTATGATAAATTTATCTTTATAAAAATTTAATATT